CGCTGGGAAACAAACCGGGAAGCGCTGAGCACCGCCCTCAAGAGTAGCTGCCGGGAGAAGGGACGTGGTCGGAATTGATGTAGGAGGTAAAAAAAAAAAGGGGTAACTGAACTAGAAAGCGAAGGAAGGAAGACTTAGGGTCCCGAATCCCGCTCTGAAATCCAGTTTCTTCCTTCCGGTGTTGTGCAGTCGCCTCCGGGTTGCCCACTGGGCGGGGTCTGAATGCTCCCCTGGTTTGCCGGGCTGTGGGCTGAGCCTCGGCATGCCCTTGTGCACCGTGGTTTTGCATTATCCCTTAGTCTTTCAGTCTGAGTGCCTTAGTCCATGCAACTTTAAAGAGAAAAATATAATATGGTAATCTTCATTGCTTATTTTGCGTGATATTCCTTCTCTAAGGGTACAGCACAAAACAGAAATTAGAGAGGTTGATCGGTCGCTTTTCTACGTGTTGATGTTCTGCCTGCTGCTGTCCTGCTAGCTCTAGGTATACATGTTAGGGGGAGTTGCAGCAAACCTGGGGAGCTGGTAGGTCCTGAGCCCTTGTGTGCTAGTGTTGGGTGTTAGCATCATCTTCTTTTACTGGAATAGGGATTGTTTGCTTGCTTCCGTTCTTTGCTTTAGGACTCTTTTTTTACTGCGATGTTTTATAAAAGGCATGTAAAATGTGTGAAGTGGTAGAGTGTTATAAAAATACCGCAGCAGCAAGCTGAGCAGTGGGTGGGGAGGCAGTGAGCCAGCAGCGTTTATTTTCGCTGCAGTGCCCGGAGAAACGGGGAGCCCAGCCTCCCCTCAGTATAGAGCTCGGGAGAAGTTACTGGCAGCTAGCTGGGAAATGCAGCACGTGAGCTCTTAGGAGTATTCCAAACTCAAGCAGAAAATCTTCGGTGTGAAAGAAGCTTTCCAAGAGCTGCAACAACACAAACTTAAAAACTTTAAAAAGTAGATGAAGAAACGTCTGCTGATATTGCTTCAGTTTGATTTGCTGGTGAAATGACTATATACATCTGGTGTACCTAAAAGTTGGCCCTGTTCTCTGCAAGTAGTGATTTTAAAAAACTAATTTAGTTGAAATCACTGGCTCTAAATTCTGAGTTGTAATTCAGTTTGAACCTGGATTATACAGGCTTGTTAGTTCAGGTAGGAATCAGTTTAAGATTTACTGTGAAGTTACATAATTTTTGTGTGTAGATAACTGATTGAGATCAGAACCTTTTTGATAGCAGCTTAAATGAAGAGGGTGTCACAACACATGGGATTTCATATGAGGAGAGAAGGAATGTGAAGAGCAATTATTAAGTTGTGGAAGAGTATGTCTGAATACAGGAAAAAGCAATCTGACCTTTCTTTTTTACAAAGGCTTTGACTTGTCACTTAGAGACAGGACACAATTCAGGCTTACTGGGTTCTGTTAAATCTTGTTTCCTAACTGGGCATCTGGACTTGGGAACTATATATTTTATCTGCCACTGAACACAAAAATGTCTCTTCTCTGTGCCGCCATATGCTATGATATCTTCCGTAGTTTATCTGCTGAGCTGTCTTCCCTGATGCTCCAAAGGCTTTGGATTCAGAGGTTCTGTCCCTACTCCACATCCCTTGTTTTTTCTTGCACTCCCTCATGTACAAAACTTTGCTGCTTTCAGCTGCTCTAAACAAAAGATTAAAGACATACCTGCCCATTTTGGCAGAAAGCACCAGAGCATCTTTTTACCTATATAACATTCCACAAGTAGAAAAGATCTGCCTAGGCTACATGGAAGCATGGTGATTAGTCTGTGTTAAACTTCAGTAAGATTGAGGTGCTTGTGCAAAGACTGATTGCTAAGCACTCTTATATTTTAGCTGACATTTGCTTATAAGGGAGGTTTTAGGGTTTTCCTGGGTCAAATGTGAAGTACAGTCTGGTAGCAAGATAACTGGGAGTGAATGGATTTCACACCTTCAGCATGGCTGCCAGGCTTGTAACAGGGAAGCACTTGAATGCTACAGCCCTCCCGATGAGGATCAAAGAATGTGTGTGAAGCACTGTGCCCTCTATTGAGAATAGTAGTAAGTTACTGCAGAGATTCTTTCCACCTACGGTGGAGAGAAGCAAAGATCTGAAGGTGGAAGATTTGGAAAAAACAGAAGAACTCAGGGACCTCTTCAGGTCATCTACCCAGTTTTCTGCTCAGAAAAGGCTAACTTTGCATTTAGACTGGGTTGTTCAGAATTTGTGTGAAATCTGGTCTTTGTTGTAGTCTTGTGTTTAGAGAAGGAAGTAAATTTCAAATTTGTTTAAAAGGGAACTTCTCTTCTGCCGAGAACTAAGCGCTTCCAAAGAGCTGTTGGATGAAATCTTATTTAAAAGGATTGTGGTATTGAAGATTCAAGTGTTACTAGCGCTTGCTTTCTTCTTTCAGGCAGAGACACTGTTGGTTCCAGCAAAATGGACAATGATGTCAGCTTGAAGTTCCGTAAGCAGCTGCTGTTCATTGACGAAAATCTGGTGGCTGAAGATGTAGCAGCTTTAAAATTTCTCTGTACTGACTTGCTCCCCTTCAGAAAACTAGAAAGTGTGAAATCAGCACTGGACATCTTTCAGCTTCTCATGGCTGAAGAATATCTGAATGAGGAAGATACTTCCCTATTAGTTGAACTCTTACACAGAATTAAGTGTTACTCTTTGCTCAAGAAACTTGGTTATACCAAGGAGAAAGTGCAAGAATGTCTGCATGAGAAGGGAAGAGTATCTCCATATAGGTAAGCAGTGGGATTCTGTTCTCTCCATTACTGCCATCTATGCCACACTTTTTTTCTTTCCATTTTTTATTTCTCAGATTTGTTTTACCTTCTACACTGTCTCCTGTTCTGCTTTTATCTCACTGGATCTCTGTTACAGGCAGATGCTGTATGAATTGTCAGAGAACATTACCGATGAGATGTTGAAGGATATCATATTCCTCCTGCAAAACTGTCTTCCAAAGCGACGGATACCTCTTGTATGTGAGGAGAGAGCCAAATGTGTATATGGTTGGAAGGGAAGAAGAAGGGGGGGCAGAATAGGAGGAAAAGCATTAAGAGGAAAGTATTTGCCGGAATAGGCATAGTTTGCAATTAGGCTAGTCATTATTTATAGGGTTAGTAAGGAGAAAGCTGTTGACTGGTAAGTGTAGAATTTGGTACTTTGCACCAAAGTCAATCACTTACAGTCCACAGCCTTGCATTAGATCATAAAAGGGTAACAAATCAAATCTTTGCCCTGCTTGAGCCACGTGTAAAGGAGATTAATGCCCATGTGTCATTGGTTTCACAGCGATAGAGCCTTCTCAAAGTCAAGAACCATTAATATGGTTTGGGTGGATGTCTTCTTTAAATAAGATTGTACCAAATAATGCAACCAGCAGCTTTCCATGGTGCAATATTTCCACCTCCCACAGTGATGTAAAATTAACTGTTTGGATCTTGTTCATAGGAAGCAAAGCAGATAATAATGTGATTGTCTGAGGCAGAGAGGGCTGAGGCGGGTTCTGAGTTCTAAGAGACAATAACTATATTTTACTCTCCTTTTGGCTGTCAGTCTGCTCTGGAATTGCTGATTTTACTGGAAAAGCAGGGCCTTTTAACTGAAAACAATGTACAGATGCTGGAGGACGTTTGTCTGAATGTTTCACCTGATCTCCTGGAGACAGTAAACTGTTATAAAAAGGCAAAAGGTGAGAAATTCAGAGTCAGGGAGTAGGTTTTCTAAAATGCACGAAGCGCTGGAAGGGTCTGGGAAACACAGCCTCAAGGTCCTATGTGCGTGTTGCTGGAACAGGAGCTAGAAAGGGATTGCTCATCTTTACATGCAAATTTGGCATAATAGCTTTTAGCTTGCATTAACTCCTAGCTGAATTCCAGTAGGAATGTGCTGGAATATCTGAGGCTACACAGATGCAGAACAGGCTGGGAAACTGAAATTCTGTTCATAGTTAGGCCACACTTCTCCATTTTCCCATGAGTATTATTGAGATGATCATGACTGTCTTGTAAAAGGCACTTAGTGATTCATGAATTAACTCTACAACAAGGCAGTTGCCTGATAATATGGGGAGGCAAATGGTGTGTGCATGCATGTCTGATATGTGGTAGGCTTTATTATTAAATGTGTGATTCATATTACCAGAGGTTATACTGCAGTTTGTAATTTTCCTTCATTTACCTCCTGTGCAGTGACTATAATCATACTGGAGGAAATGTATTTCCCTTTATTTAAGCACTGGGAAACATTACAGGAAGTACAAAGCTACGTCTCCCCAGTAGGTGCAAGCGCACTCAAGAGTTTCCTGAGTTCCATTCCCCCATGCTTTCTGTGTGTTTCAATGATGCATTCTGTTTTAATATATCTTTCAGTAACTATAGATCCACATCTGCCAAATGTGCAGATTCATACCCGTTTAACTGAAAGGCACTTGGCTTCTCACATCTTGTCTCTTTCTGTTCTTAGTGTCTCTGCCTCAGCAGGAGAACACTGTGCCAGTCAAGGAAGCTTTGTTGCCACAAAGTGAAGACATCAGAGTATTCACTTGCCCACAGGTACACTGGAGTGCATACTGCTAACTTGGGATATACTGATTTAGGGGTTTGTTGTTTGTTTGGTTTTTTCTTGCCTTTATTTTGAAACTGTACTGGCTGTGAGATCTTTTTTCTGAATCTTCGTTTAGGAAGGGAACAAGCATATTTGTTCAACATGCAAGAAATATGGCTACATATACTACCAAATAGGGGAAGTAAAAAATACTGCTGTTGGTCATGTGCTATTGGGGAAAAAAAAGAATTTCAGGAAGAGAGATGAGTGAGAGAAAAAGCTATACAGATGCCTTCTGAGAATGGGTCAGTCAGTTGGTGCTGATTTTTAAAGTTTCGGCTGATCAATGCTTAATTATCTCAAAAGGCTGACACCATACTTTGATGATGAGTTTAAATTGCTGCTGCTAAAGGAAGTGGTCCCATTTTTTCAATGTACCAATCATTGATCAGCTAAACCCCTCCTACAGCTGCATGATGAGTCAGATTGGAAAACTTATCAGGGCTGTAACTGATCTCTTTTTTGGGGAAGAAAAGAGGAAGGGAGGGAGTTTTAACCTAGTTCTCAATGAGGAAAACCAATTATACTTTCCAGAAATTAAGTTCTAGTAGACAAGGGCTGAGGAAAATGAGCTCTTTGATGTCAGAAGGGTTTGCATTACTGCTGCTTTGAGCTATATTTGCTCTACATGCATAGAGGGTTTGGGGAAGCCTTCATACATGGCACTTGGCACAGTAAGAAAATGAATGTAGTTTTTATTAACAAACCATAGATATCTCTTAGGCATCTTCTAGAACATGCATCTTAGGCAGGAGTAGAATCACTAGTTATAATTATTTACACTCAAATAATTGTCTATCCAAGAGAATTAATATGGGACTACTACTGTTATTTTGTTTGTAGTGACTCCCTGCCCCTATAGCGAGAGGATCATTTGGAAGTGAAAGTTTTCTTCTTTCCCTTTATCCTTAAGAGAGAGTATAGTTGTTTCTTGCTCTTTGAGATTTGGTGTAAGTGGGGCAAGTCTTTTGTCATTTCATTATGAAATTACATTAGGAATTCAGTATTTTTCCTACTCACTACTTATAGAGCTTGGTATTAAGCCTATTTTGCTATAATCACCCTGAAAACTTATTATATATAATAATGATTTTTAACATGGTATTCCCCTCAAAAAACAGGAGACTTCAATCAAATCTGTCAGTTCTAGTATCAATGGTAAGAATTTCTGAAAATATATTTGGGGTTTTTTACCTTTATGGTTAATGTTGCATTCCTTTACTTTCTCTGGGAAACTTCTAGCATTTGGTTTAATGCAACACATTTGCCTTGTTGTCTTCTTGGAAGGATCATTTGCTTTCTGCACAAATAGATTTGAAGGATTTCTGCTCTTACATGAAAGAGGCAAGAGAAAATTGGCAAATCCTGTGCACTTTGTCAGTCATTTACTAGAAACTAATGTGCTTTCTGGAAAGTGAAATAGGGGCTGTTCTGATTAGAAGTAAAAAGACTAAAAATGAAAAACAATTTTTTGGTTTAAATATCCTTAGGCAGAGAAGAGAATGGGACACTTATGAGTGTTTATAAAACTGAGATGTTAATGTTTTGGGTGCAGGATTTTACCTCTGACTTTATAGATCATTACCTTGCAGAGCCTGGGAGCATTGCATGGTAGTGATGGATGTTCTGAATGCATTAAATAGTGTATGGAGGGCATTCAGAAGGAGAAGTAAATGAAGCAGCAATAAGTAAAGTTACATTTTGGATCAGATCTCTTATAAGGATCTGTACAAGTAACAGTGGGTAGTTTGCATTCATCTTTGTGACTCCGCGTCAAATTGACCAATTGCAAAGTATAGCAGTTGGACATCTGTCAGGTCTTTTCCACTTTTGAGCTCTTACTCAGCCTTGTGCAGCCTTGTTCTTCAAGTCAATCTTAGAGTTATTATCAGTGATTCAGGAACAAAACCAAAAAAGTAATCTATAATGGGAGCTTCAGTAGTAGCATTGCAGATTCTTCTTACAATGCAGTTTATTTTAAAGCTGATTTCCAAATGGAAAATCCATTTGAATGTCTCAGGTAGAATCTATCCTTGAACCATGGATATCTTTATTCTACAATACTAATGTAAATGGAAACCTTGTCTTTGTCACAAATATATATATATATAAAATAAAAATAACTGAAGACCTGTTCAGAATAGATCCTTTGAATGTGACAGTGCTGTCTCATACAGAGGAGTTATTCCTTTCAATAAATAGTATTTCAAATACAAAAAATGCTGTATTGTAGCTAAATTCCTTTATGCTACATCCACTAACACTGGATTTCTTTTCATAAATGTCTATGCTGCATTTTTTTCCTAGATAACAAAGCAGCTCATCTTTCACAAGTCTTCTCTGAAGTGAATCTGGAGCTACCTGGAAAATTCAGCAATGTAGAAAATGAATCCAAGGTTGGAGACGATCTCTTAAATCCTTCTTTTTTAATACTTGGGTGTGTGAGGTCTTCATCCCTGTAATGACATTTATCATGCAAGGACATGTAAAATGTCTGTGTGCTTAATGAAATTTTTTTCAGCTGTCTGATCTGATCAACTAGAACATTTCAGAGAATATTTGAATCTTGGAGGCCAGACACTTACCAGTATGGAAAGGAGTGGTGGAGGCAAAACAGGCATAAATACCTTTGATGTTATCCACACAGAAATGCATCTGCTTGTCTTCCTAATACAGGCAAAACATTTGGCATTTTCTTCAGTTGTGCATTTTAGAGATGGCAGAAGAATGTGCAAGATATGGATACAAACAGCTTCACAGTTCTCTCTTTTTGAATCTGGCTTAGAAAAAACTTCAGAGCATCATGACATTAAAAGCAATTAGGGGTAGTATGCAGAAACCTTGTGAAAAGATTAAAACAAGGCAGTAGTTTTTAGTAAGCTATTGCAGGCATGTAACAATCTTCCTCGATAAAACAGAGGTCTTGGTACAGGAGAAAAAAATCCCTATTGTGAGATCCCTTCTTAGAAGCTTATGTGCGCTTTTAAACCTTGTACAGCAGTGTAACCACTAAATTCTCCCTCTGGCTTTTTCCTTCTGATGAACACGGATTGAGGGAGGAACTTGCTGCATTTGTTTGTAGCTATTTACTTTCTTGAATTTCTGTGCTGTAACATTTTTTCATCACCGGCTGTTCAGACTGAAAGTACTTGCTGCTGTTGATGGAACTTGGAGCACTGCTTTCATCTTGTTCTAGTAGAATGCACAAAAGCAGGTGTTTGTTGCTCTCTCCAACAAGCAGAAAGGAACTGGAGGCACTTGAAGTTTTGATGACTTTTCAGGTTTTAAAAAGTTGTTTTTTAACAGTGGGAGGTAACTTTTAAATCATAACAAAATTGGTAGCGTGGCAGGTTTATGCACTTTAGAAATCTCTGTTCTGGTTGCATCTAATTCCAGTGGATCAGTATGAACCACCTGCTCCAGGTATTCATCACTACTCTCAAAAAACCCTCAACAACTCAGATGCCTAACATTCAATAGTTTCACTGTGAACCTTCTGCCATCTGAAGTTCAAGTATTGGCATGACATTGGGAACATCTGGGGACTTCTACCCCCATCACCAATTCAGATTGCACAGTTTGGTTGCTGAACCCTCCCTTTTGCATATAGATGCTAAACCCAGCTGCTAAACCTTTCCTCTACAGTTTGATAGTATGGTCACAAAGTGTGCTTGAGGCTTCACCCATGGCTTTTCACACAAGGAGGCACTAATGAGTTCCAGCTTTTCAAAAGTAACCCACAGACTTAGGGGCCTCTAATTTCTGGATGCCAATTTTGGAACTTGTTGAGGAAATATTAGTAAGTTGAATACATTCATAGAAGATGTAAGCTTTTTTTCTTGTCCTTTCTACAGAAGATGGCAATCTACAAAATGGATGGACCACACAGAGGCTTTTGTCTAGTTATTAATAATGTTAACTTTGATGGGTCTCTTCAGGAGAGGAAGGGTTCTTGCAAAGATGCTGGTAAGCTACTAAAGCGAGATTTTTTTGAGGATTAGTCTCCCTGTTTCCCCATGTGAATTGATTGGCTAATATTACTCTATATTATACTGTCTATATTTTAGTTAATATTCTTAAAGAGTAAAATGTTTGATAGGTGTTAAATTATGTAATTTGTGTATTGTAGAGGGAGACAGTTAAAGGATGAGTATCCACTGTGATTCTGATGCAGTTGGATCATTCTTGAATAATTTTAAGAATCACTTTTTACTTAGCCTTTATCTATAGCTATACTAAAGAACTAAAACTAAATGAAACCATCATTATACATAATAGTGTGAGGAGTTCTATAACCAAGAAACTTCATAGTTTTATTTTGTTCATTCTGTTTTTCTGTGGGGTATGAAACTCTAGTAGTCAAAAATGCAACTGGAAAATAATGATGTGAGGAAGATTTTGAAAGATCTAATGTGACACTTAGGAGAAAATTTTTCATATTTCCAGGTGACATTTGTGAGCTTACTCGGTGTGTCATTATAGACTGTAAAATGTCATTGTATTTTCTGAAACTTGTCTAGAAAAATTCAGGAACTCCGCGTTTGAGCTGATGCCATGTTTTTTTATTGCAGTTAACCTTTAATTGATACTAGTATATAAGGATGAATCTGCCAAAGTGTCACAGTATAAGGTTCAGATTAGCTTGCACGGTGACTTCATAGAAAGGTTTTCTACTGCCTCAGTTTTTCCTTTTATCTTTTAATTACAGAAGAACTGAAGAGAGTGTTCACATGGCTTGGTCTGGATGTCAGAACTTACTCAAATCTGACGTCTCTGGAGATTAGAGATCTCATGCGAACTTGGCAGCATTTGCAAGATCACAAAGACAGGGACTGTTTTATATGTTGCATTCTATCTCATGGAGAGTCAGGAGCAATCTATGGGAAAGATGAGGAACTTGTATCAATCCGTACAATTATGTCCCACTTCACTGCCAAACAATGTCCACAGCTGGCTGAAAAACCCAAACTCTTCTTTATCCAAGCTTGCCAGGGTAAAGAGATACAGCGTCCTGTCCATGTTGAAGCTGATGCACAAATTCCTAACTTGTCATCCATGCAACAGAGCATTTCTCCATCTGAAAGTATTCCTGAAGAGGCTGATTTCCTCCTAGGCATGGCCACAATTGATGGATATGTCTCTTTCCGGCACATTCAACAGGGTGCTTGGTATATTCAGGCCCTGTGCAGTAAGCTGGAGTTGTTGGTACCAAGGTAAATACATTCCTTAGCTCTTCCATGAAAAAATGTGAAGAACTTGAACTTACCTCTTTTTTTCTTTTTTTCTTTTTTTTTAATCAAAAGGCAAGTTAACATAGAAACCGTAACCCATGTACTGAGGTGGAAAAAAAATAGTTAAACCGAGGATTTGTTTGCTTGTCACTGATAAATTTGTATTAACATTGCTATTACCATAGAGAGAATCTGAAGAATATGAAGGTTGTTATATCCCATCTATATTCTTTAAGGCAGAGCCATCCGTTGCTTGAGTGGATTTAGGTAAAAATATTTTATTCCATTATCTTTCTTTACTGGTTGAATCAAGCAAGGTAGAGTAAGAAAAGGTCTTTTGTTTTTAATATGACTCAAATAAGGACAAAAGAGGAGAAATATGGAGAAAAGAATATTCTAGATGACCTGGGAGGTGTTAAATGGAGTGCCATCTTCTCATTAATTATTTTTTTTAATTATTTTTGCTCTCCATCTGGCTGTAGGGGTGAAGATATTTTGTCAATTCTTACAGAAGTTAATGAAGATGTGGGCAGACGTGTTGACCGCTTGGGGACAAAGAAGCAGATGCCTCAACCAGCATATACCTTGAGAAGAAAATTTATATTCCCAATACCTAGAGACCCTCCACCTTCACAGCAGCATTGAGGCTTTAAAAATACATCCTTGTATCAGCACATCTCATTTAAATGCAATTCACACTACCTGTTTTAAGGCAGTTACCTAGAATCTGGAGGAACTATATTCCTCAACCATTTATTTTTTTGCCAAACGAACTGTGAAACTGGAGGACACACAATTAAAACTATCAATGTGCCAGCTATTTACATTGTCTATATATTAATAGTCTTCAGGATTAGGAGAAGCATGCTTCTGTCATGTTAAATGTTTTTCTACCTGCAAAAAATGCAGATGTAAGTGTTTTGCTGACAGCATAAGAGTTTCATGTAGACTTCCACATCTAAACCAGCATCATTAAGATCTGGTTTAGGCTCATTGTGTTTTATTTTGCAGGCTAACAATTTTAAATCCTGCCTGTAAATCCACTAGCTTTCACTATGTTCATAGTGAAAGACAAAGGTGGGAACGAAGAGGAGAAAGCTGAAGTAGTAAGTGAAAGAGGATGTTTTCCATCTCTGATTGAAATTACTTTTAACTTAATGGAGAACCAGTTAACTGTTGAAATCAATAATTTGTTGCACAAGTTGCACTTAGACTGTCTAATGGCTAACATAAATATCATGTACAATGAGATCTTTCCAAAACTGAGTAAAGCCAAAATTCTGCAGTGTAAATTCCCTCTGTGAAACCTTGTGAACTGTCATTTCTGCATCACTTCTTGGAAGAAAAGTTTCTGGGTAGAAGATTTACACACTATGAAACATGGCATTCAGCAGTGTGTCTGTATAGGTTTATCAGATTGATTAACTTTGTTAAGCATTAATTTTTTATTATAGTTTCTTGTTTGAAGATCTAAAATGCAGCCAAATGAGAAACAAAGCTCCCTGCTGCTTAAGCTTATAACAGCATTTGTGAGTTAACTGAAAGAATGGCATGGCTTTTTTTTTGTTAGGAGCACTTGCTCTGTATGTCTGTGTCCTTCCTGTTTGTTATTGCATTAAATTCATACTTCTTTTTAAGTGTTTGGTAAGAAAAATTATGTACTTGGATAAGGTTGTTTCTGACTGGCCCCTGCACTTCATTGTGCTGCATGAATCAGTGAGGTTTTAAGGTTTAAGTGAGGGTTTAAGCTGAAGGGAAACTATTTCTGCAAAACACTGCTTGATATATATTATTTCTAGCCATAAATTAGGGTGAAGATTTCAGTGAGTACTGTCTAGTGTTGTTGGACACGATTTTTTGCTGGCGCTTTCTATAATTTTTAGGAGGGGAGTTTTGCATCATACAGAGCATTGAAATGCAGCCAGTTTGCCAAAACAAAATGGTCGCTTTTTACCATGATGAATTGATAGATGTGTGACCCATTGCATTTTGAGTCTTCTGAGTTAATTGGGCTGCAACACTTGAAGTCACATTTGTGCCACAGATAGAAAATGTTTTATCTGATTCTCAAGTAGATAATGTAGATAGATAGATATGTAGATATCTCAAATAGATAATGCAATAGAACCATGATGTTTCTGGCTCACAGTTACTATTTAGACTTGCTGCACTCTTTTTCACATGTTTAGGTAACATGAATTTTTATCAGTTCTGAGTTAACACTGGCAATAATGTTGAACTTGTTTTGCAGGATCTTATTTTAAATTTTTTTATTTGGTATACAGAAGACACCATCACGTTCTCTTGCTTTCTCTGTAGAAAATTCTGCCTGGGTAGTCTCCAGTTAAATCATAGTTAGGTAAAGGCAGTCAGAAGAGTCTAAGCTGGCTTCTGCCTTGTGTTCCTTGGGGGGTGGGATCCATATTTGTGAAGTGTAGAAGGCTGGTAAACTCTCCCTCTCTCATAATACTGTTTGTTCAAACACAGTGTATGTCACCCCAGTTTATACTATTCAGTGTAAATATTTTGCCTGTGCATGTTAGGAGTTCTGTTTATACTGTTGCACATTGTAATACTTGGCTGCAGGCAGTGGTACTCTGTCAGCACAAGCCTGAAGGCAGGGTAGGCTTAGCACTGCAACAGTGGCTGCCATTCAGCAAGGTTGTTGCTCATGTTTCTGCATGATCCCCTGCATTATTGTATATGGTGTATTGTGAGACAGCACTTTGAAAGTCTTGGAGTAGAGTGGTTGGGTTTTATACAACTTAGATATTTATCACTCCTTGCTGCCGACACCATGTGCCTTCTTTGTAACTCTAATAATACAAAGCTGTGCCAGAAATAAATCAACCTAAACTAAGCAAAGTTCTTCTATTTCTGTTGAGGCTTACTAATGAAAAACAGAAGCATATGCACATGTGCAATGTCTCCACCTACAGAAATAAGAATGTTTGTGACTTGTGCAACCCTGTTTGGACTGATTTAAGTGGAACTAGTGTAAAAAGAGTCTTTCTGTTGGGGAAGTTGGTATCATGGGAAGATCATGGTCTTAAAGTGGGATTTGTAACATCCACTAGTCTTTGGTATACCAACCCTCCTGACTGACAGGTTTTGTGCAGAAGCTGTATATCCCCCCTTGTGCTAGTAGAGGCAAGAGTCACAACGGTTGCTGATTAGTCAGTAGCCTCAGCACTTTAGCTTCCTCAAGACCAGCCTTTATGGAAGAGATGAATTTTTGGCAGGCTACTTTACAAGGAATAGATTGGGTCACTGAGAGGAAGCCGGAGGGACAAAAGCAGGATGCAGGGGAGCTGAGGGAAATTGGAGAGGCTGTAACTTAACAAAAGGACAGGAACATTTTGGGGAAGGGCGAGAGAGGAAGAAATAGGAAGTGAAACAGTAAAGACAAAGAGGAAGAACAGTGCCAGGAGGGCTGGTCCTTGACACTGCTGCATGATGGGAGAAACCTCTGTCTGGAAAGAGCAAAGCTGGGCTTGGTCTATCTGCAAATATTTTTCACACAGTGCTGACCACAGCATTCTTCCTCTTTCAAACTGCAGCCTGAGTCTTGAGTCAGTTAAGACATGGAAGAGTTGGTGCAGGGAGAGAGACGCTGAGGCATGGGATGATGTGGAGACAGAACCATTTGGACCCGAAGATCAGGCAGTGCTTGTGGTGTCCCTCTGTGCTGTTCACAGCCTTTGGATAAAAGGACAATTCATGCCAATGAAGAACGTCGGACACGTTTTCTGAACTGTTGCTAGTGTGTGCCTTGTGGAAGGAATTTGTATGCCTCATTCTATTGAAGGGTATGTTACAATTTTGAGTTTAGAAAGGTAGATAGGTTGAAATCAGTGAATTATTGTTTTCATTGCAAAATTCTAACCAATTTCAGCTTTCCTAGCAGTCTCTTCATAATGCAGGCTTCACAAGCTTCAGAGGGAGTGGCCACTGGTACTGATTGCTTATCGTGTATTTCCTGTTGCAAGGAAGATACTGGTGACCAGCAATCATACCGGGAACCTACCACTGAAGGCAGACTTCAGTACTTCAAAGAGGGTGAAAATGCTGAAAGTTAATTATTGTTGAATTTCTGTTGTAAATGGGGAAGTATATTACATAAATAATTTCAAAGGAAAGTTTAGCCTGAGTTCCCTGTATTCACTGAGTACTGCTACTGAATTAGGTGCTTAGTTGACTTTTTTAATTTAGGAAATAGTCTTCCATGAAAGTATATGTTAAAAATAGGTGAGGGTGAGTTGGAGGGGGACTTCAGAGAAAGGAGGTAAGTCATGGAGAATTTGATGACACAGCAGGAAAGTGGAACAGAGATATTTTCAAATGGGAAGACACAATTGATTCACTCTTCCCTCACTCTTTTAATTAGGATTTATGTATGGGAGCAAATATACTGAGCTGTACTGTATGCTAGAAAGTCCTGGCTGTGCTGTTTAGCATGTACCCTTAAAACAAAAGCAAAACATGGCTACTTTCGTGGCTTGTTTGCCAGTTTTTATCTCAAGCATTGTAATAATTAATTTCCTGAAACTGGAACTCTGTAGGTGGAGTATGGAACTGCTGCATTATAACCACAGCTTACTACTTTCTTAAAACATGCTTTCTGTAAGTCACATGACAATATAGACCATAATACAGAGGGCAGTACTTTTCCTGGAACTTCAGAGACTGTGACTGCCTCACTTTTTGCAGAGTTGTTCCAGCAGTCCTCCAGCTTGTCCTCTCATGTGCTGTAAAATGAAAATTTCCTTTATCAGGAAGATTTACTTTTATAAGTGCATGTCTTGTATCTTAAATAAAAGGCATGATTTATGTGAGAAGGAAGATAATTCATAACTAGCTATCAAGAAAGAATTCTTCTCTTTCCTGTGTGCATATAAAAATAAACAGTCAGATCTGAGGTAATTAAATTGTGAGATTAAGCATAGGTGATTCATTCAGATACTAGTGGTTTTGTGGTGATATGGCCCAAATGGTATGGAGTCTGGTCTGTTTAAAGTTCAGTTTGAATGGATTTAAAGAAAGCAGTATTTGGGGGCAGAGCATGAAATGTATATCTGGCATCACAAAACACATTTTGCCTTTTTATCAGTATTTTTATGGACAGAGGTTTACAATTCAGTTGTTTGTTCACTCTTGCTAGCTAACAGAATGCTGAGCAAGCATATGCCACAAAAAAAGCTGCCTTCCTGTAGTGGTCCTTGGAGGTGGAGGACTACAATTGTCTGCTAATTGTGTTTTATATACTCACAGCAGTATTGATTCAGTTAGTCAGCTGGGCTACCTTGAAGTTTTTAGCCTTGGTATTGAGACACTGACAGTAGCAGTAACATTTAAATGGATTGCCTAATATTCCAGTGCTGTAGGAAGTTTTGATTTGCTGTTGTCGACTTTTCTGTTTCCCAATGAGTTTAATTGGATAAGAGACCTCTACTGAATGCGTTTCTGTAGAGTTTCTCTTCAGAGATTCATAAGTGTCTTAGATTTAAGGCAGAGAGAATGAAGTGGCAAATAGTTCTTTTACAAGAGAGGCAATGGAGGCAGGTCTTTCAAGTGTGTTAGGGTGAGATAGTTGAAAGGCTTGCACTTGGTATTTTCTCATTAGTTCTTGTGCTCAAAAGTTGGATCCATAAGCCCAGTTTAATATTTGTAAAGCTGATGGAGGAAGTGGTGGAGAAGGGAGGTGATATCTGATGTTCAGTGAAACAGAACTAGTTTGACAGGAATTCTCTTGGCCTTTTTAAAAGGGTTGACATGATCTGCTTTTGATTTGAAGAACAGGAGCCAAATAGCTTATGATTATATTCGTGTGGACTCTTTTTTATGACATAAAACCTTTATCTTCATGATGGTGTAAAACCTGTCAGTCTCTGTGCTGGTTTGGTACAGTTTTGGTAGTAGAGGAGGAGTCCCAGTGGTGGCTCCTGTAAGAAGCTATTGAAAGCTCCTATGGCTCAAAAAAAATGTGGCCACCCTTCTGGCCAAGTCCAAGCTCATCAGAGACAATGGATGCAACACGAGAAAAAGAGGAAACCAACTGATACAATACCTGAGAGCAGAGGAGAGGTGGAGGTGGAAAGCAATGGTGAGACCATGGAGGGGGCAGAGTTAAGAGCAATGCTGGCACAGAGATACCAAGTTTGGTGAGCAAGGAAGGGAAGGAGGTGCCCAAGAAGAGGTTCCCCTGCAGCCTGGGGTGAGATAGCAGGCTGTCCCACTGCAATCCATGGAAGAGCACAGTGGAGCAGCTGTGGACCAGCAGCTGTAGAGGACCCTGTGCCTGGAGAGGAGACCATTCCCAAAGCAGGCCATGACTGTGGGCAGCCTGTGCTGGAGCACTTTGTTGTTCCTAATGGATGGCAACTCGTAGGAGGGGCTTATGTCAAAGACGTTTGTAAAGGACTTTCTCCCATGGAGCGACCCTACGGGGAAGCAGGGGAAGACTGAGAAATCCTCCCTGAGGAGCAAGAAATGGCAGGAAGCAACATGTGGTGCGCTGACTCTAAACCCTATTCCCTGTGCCACTGAGGGGAAGGAGGTAGAGAAATTGGAAACAAAGTAATTTGGGCCTGGGAGAAAGGGATGGGTGGGGTGAGGTATTTAACCTTGGTTCTTTGTTTTCTTTTGTCCTGTTTGCATCTGATTAGTGATAAATTTAATAGATATTTTTTCTCTAAGTTGATTTGGTTTTGCCCATGACCATAACTGGTGAGTGAACCCTCCTTTTTCTTTGTCTTGACCCACAAGCTTCCAGTTGGTTTTTGTCCTCCCCATCCCACAATAGGGCTGGAGGTGTGTGAGTGAGCGGCCGCGTGGTTCTTTGTTGTCAGCCAAGCACCCATGTGGCTCTTTCTTGTCAGTTAGGCATAAACCACGACACACATTTACTACATAGTCTATATTTCAGACTGGCAAGAGGCTCTTGCTCCCAAATGGGATCAAATGTCAAAAAACCCAAAATAGACCAAATCAAAACAGCAGCAG